CCCAGAATTAGGTGCCAAGTCCCTAATCACCGTAGAGCAGCAGTTTGGTCTTAGGGGAAGAGAAGTAGTCTCCACTCTGTGACTTGTGCTTTCCAGTTTTCAGCACTGCTGCTTCCCTGGTGCCGCTGGCCTCCATACCAGTATAATGGGATAGCAGCGGGGCACTTAGATTAATTAGTGGTTGTAAAGCCCCTGGAGCTCTTTGGTTAAGTGGTTCAAAGGAAACTATTGTTCTAAGTGACCCCTATTGTTCTTACCTGGGTGTCCAGTTGCCGAGTGGGCAGACTGCTTGTGTCCAGCGTGTTAATTACCACCCGTCTCTTAATCATGAAGGTTGGTAATCCTCTTTCAGTTTGGAAATCCACATGCCACGAGGCCCAATTAACATCTCTGATATCATCGTCTGCTAGTCAATACAAAGCTATTAGCCATCCACAACTACTGCTGTGCAGACTGGCCAGGACAAGTTTTGCCAAGCCATACTGGAAGATAGTTTAGCAAGGCTAGTTAAAATACTACCTATTTAATGTGACGGCATTGGTCAGTCTCACATCACAGCAAAGATTTTTATTTAGTTTAAAATTTGTCTTGCAGAGGTTAAGGCTTCAGTCTAAATCTTTGCTTTTGTTAGGATCCCAAAAGATTTCAGATGGGTTTTCCTCCAGTTTTGATTCCTTTTTTTGTTGATTTCACACCAGCCTTCCGGCTCAGTGTAACTCAAGAATTCCCCTCTCAAAGGCTGTCGTCACTGTTTCTAAGTAATGAGTGCTATAGCATCTGTAGCTAAGGAATTTATAACTTTCTTTTCAATTACCGCATCTTTAGGTTCCCAAAGAATGTCAGGAAGGAATTGCTATTCTGTAAACACGGCGTGTTACAGAATAGATAAATTGTGTTTTCTCATAATGCGGGGAACACTACTCATTTCTCCCCCCACATACACGCTTCTTTTAATCACAAATCAATGCCACATTGAAAGAAAATTATTCCTTGCATAAGGGAAAAAAATCCAAATTTTATTTCTAGACCTTACCGCGACTCCTCCTTTGCCCGTAATACTTGCTTGTCCTGCCAGGTCCAGACAGCACAGGGAGCAGACTGATTCTCCCTGCTTATAATCCCAAAGCTGATGAATGCAACACTGAGTAAGGATCCTTGTTTGTTTGTTTGTTTGTTTGTTTGTTTTTCCTCCTCGATCCTACTCAGCTCTTTGCAAGAGATCAGTTAATTACAGAGGAACAAAGATCGGGCAGGGATTCTTCTCTCCCAAGGTAGAAAATGAGCCCTTCTGCTGCAAGGCTGCCGAGAAAGCGCTGTTGAGGCACGCTCGTATAACGGATTCCCCCTCCTCAACTTACATGGTACATGAATGATAATTTTGCGGAGCGTTCCATTAGGTTTAAATTAGTAAAGGAAAAGGCATGTATGTGCTCAAGTAGATGTCTGAATTAGCATTTTTAGAATTGTCACGCTCTGTGTTTGCAAAATGAACCTTTTTTGCCCTTTAGGTACAGTGAAACGTTACGTTCCACTACGTGGCTTAATACAGCGGTCGGAGGAGGAAGAACGTCCACACTCCGTCTCTGTGACGGCAAGATACACTTCAGAATGTGGGGAAAAAAATAAGCGGCGACTGCCAAGGGCATTCAGACAAGAGAGACTGGAGCTCCGAGCCTCGTCCTGTCAACGTCACCTAGATGAAGCCCCTGCACGGAGCCAGTTTGAAGTCAACTCCATTAACAGGAATCATTGTTGTTCAAACTGGAGCAGATCCACAGCTCTTCCTTGAGAGCCTAAAACTACTTTTATCCCTTGAAATCCTGGCCTCAGACACACACACAAAAAAAATCAATCGGCATGCCAGTTCATTCCCCTTGCAGGGATGCTGTGTTTTCGGGTGCTCAGATATATCTGATGGTACCTACAAGCGCGCTGGCCTGTGTCAGGAATATCCCGAGGAGAAGTTGTGCACGTTTATGGGAATCTAAGAGTGCTTGTCATCAAAATAAACTTGAAGACATTGTTGGCCGTCATCACTGGCATAGCAGACAGGAACTGTGCCTAGAAATAGAGATTGGCATAGCAACATTGCTGACTGTTTTGTAGAGAAGGCGGCTTATTTTTCCTGACTGCGACATTTAATAAACATTTTCTGTTTGTTGAAACTGTGGAACCTCACTAGATCAAGCTGAATGCTAATCTGCTCGAGTCGCCGCCACAGACTTTTGTCTCCAGTATGTACACATCACGAGTCACTGTGGTTTCGTTGGTTTTGTCCTATGACACTTGTTCCTTTGTGTTTGTCCACGAAAAATAGGCAAAACATGGGAAACAGCCCCACAAATCCTCCAGACGATGATTTATTTTGCAAGATCCCGTTTTATCTTGTTGGTAGGGCTCCGTTTGGCCGCTGGCTGAGAAGCCCTTTGATGCAGCCTGTGACTGGCAATCTGCGAGGGGGTCGACAGGCACCCGCGCAGCTGCCCGCTGTCGGCGCATTAACCGTCTTCCACCTGAAGCGTCGGACCTCGGATTCACGCTTCACGCAAATGGACTGCGATGATAAAGAGAAGCTCATGTCCAAAAAATGCTCTGAAATGCCAGCCCGAAAATAAATTTGACTCTTGGTTTGAAGCTTTTAAATGGGGCTTTTGAATCCGGATGTCTTGAACCCTGGACAAGCACCCTGAGGAGAAGGGTCCCACACAGACAGGCGGGAGTTAGGCCCACGGGCGCTGAGCTACCTCAGGCTGCCTTCCTCGCAGGCAGCAGGTCAGCGTTTGTCTTTATCACAGCGCATGTCGGGACGGGGGACGGGTGTTTCTGGGCGGCTTAGCCGGCCCAAGGTGTGCCCCGGGGGCCCGGCACCCGGTGCTGTGGAGCCGAGGGACGGCTGGGCCCGACCGTTGGCGCCCGCAGCCCGCCCTCAACGCCGGCTGCCCCTGCCCCGTCACGGTTGCTAAGGCGCGGAGCTGTAGGCGGGGCAGAGGTAGAACTGCTCCGACCAATCCGGAGAGACCCGCCCTCGGCGGGAGCCAATCACTGCCGGGAAACAACACCCCTCCCGCCCTCCCGGGGT